TGATTCATTTTAGGAACTAGAGATCTGACATTCAAATGAGCTAACCTGATACTAGTAACCATCAAAAAAATAGAAATAAAAATATAAATCGGATATAAAAGATGTAAAAAGAGACACCGAAGACGACTAAGTAATAAAATGTGGGGGGTGCCATTTAAAAAAATTAAGTTATGGTACTTCCAAGTTTCGAAAAAGTAACGTGCAATAGTAAAGTGACCAAACGTTCTAGACAGCCATACTCGGCACCAAAACATACTCCATCATGTTGCTTACGCATGTTCTGAATCCTAAATTGATATCCCAAAAATCAAGTGTTCTCTGATTTTTTGAACAAATGTCTGCTGGAGCAGATTTTTCTAGAAAAATTCGAATAACTCGAGAACGGCCGAATCAAATTGTAAAAAGTAAAATCATTCATAAACCTTGAAAACAGACAAATCCAAATATGTAGAAATATACAGGATGTTCCATTTAAAAAAATAAAGTAGGTGGCGACTTCCGGTATAACCGGAAGTGTTAGATATCTGAAAATATTTTAGTCGAAGAGAACGCAATTGATAATACTTAAATCTGAATTTTCAAATTTTAATTTTGGCCAGAACCCTGTAAAATTCTAATGGACGGTCGTCGTGGATGACCCTGTATATATTTGTTATCACAAGAAAATAACAGATTATGTATTTTAGGTCATAGCCAACTATGGTTTCCATTTAAAAAAATAAAGTTACGTCTAAAATCTCGAAAATAAAAGATGCGAAAAAAATTCTACCTACGCCACTGAATTCTTCGTAAAAAGTTGCCCATATAATGTTTTATTTATAATACTCCCTCTTTGATAATAAGTGAGATATTCGCAATTGTCGTTCGAAGTTTTCGGCATTAGCATTTTCTCGAAAAACGAGATCATGACATGTAAGCTACTTTTTTTCTATCTCTTTTAGTTTCGGAGATAGCCTATGCGGACATCGAAATTGGAACACCCTGTATAGAGTGTCCAAATTTCGATGGGTTTGCAGGTTATTTCAGTTATTATGAAAGATAGAAAGTTGCGGCTTTCGCGAACCTGAGCTACTTTTTTGTGAAACTTACAATGGCGCAAACCAAATTTTCATAGCCCTCTTTGTTTTTGATATAGAGAGAGTGTTTGAAATTTATGATTTTCAAACACCTCCTGTATCTCGGCTATCCGGAAACTTAGTAAAAAAGTAAAAACGGGTTCTAATAGATTTTTTCATGTGGAATCCAATGGTGCACGTAGAATTTTTCTAGTCACTACGGTTTTTGAGTTATAAGCACAACTCAAATACTGAATACTCAACTTCTAAAATACTTAACTCTTTATAACTCAAAAACCGTGACGACTAGAAAAATTCTACGTGCACCATTGGATTCTACGTGAAAAAATGTATTAGAACCCGTTTTGACGTTTACGGATAGCCGAGATACAGGAGGTGTCTGAAAATCGTAAATTTTGAAACACTCCCTGTATATCAAAAACGACGAGGGCTATGAAAATTTGGTTTGCGCCATTGTAAGTTTCACAAAAAAGTAGCTCAGGTTCGCGAAAGCCGCAACTTTCTATCTTTCATAATAATTGAGATACCCTGCAAACCCATCGAAATTTGGACACCCTGTACAATGTAGCATATTTTATTTTTTTACGCTAAAACTGTTAGAAGTATCTTTAAGGAAAAAACTAAAGAGACAGAAAAGTACCAATAATGAATAAGCTTTAGAACCCATATTTTTTTATGTTAGTATTCCATGGCGTTAAAAAGTTGTTATAAAAAGATCAAAGGGGTTGTAAATTTCATTCCCTTAGAGGACGCTGTGGCAGTTTAAGGCATGGTTGGAAATAAGGTATTAACCAGTAATACATACATACAAAATTTCAAATTCTATGGTTTACTTATACCTGAAATAAAAGATAAAATCTTAATTTTTGGCTCATCTTTGACAGCTACTTATACAAAAAACTTGTGTTATTTTGGCAAGTACTAGGTCTTGGTACTTGGCAAGTCATTAGGTTTAGATACTGCTTTTAAAGAAATCACTAAAACTGTGTGAATATTAGTGACTATACCAATGACAACAGCAGAACCAGAGAGGTGTTTCTCAAAGTTAAAACTTTTCTAAGGAATACTATGTGTAAAAATAAAAATTTAAATGAAAAAGTGATAAACAGTTCATCACAAACAAAGAAAGAATAATGGATTTTAACTTTAAAACATAAGTAGGTGTGTAGAAAGGTACATTAATAAATTTTTTAATAAATTAATTCGTTTATATACCTAATTGAAATTTTGACGCTCAAAATGCACTTATTTGTGTGTGGCACCCCAATTAATGGCTTGTGACGTCACATCAAAACATTAATGTGGTTTTTCGGTATGTACTACACTTTTCATGTCTCTCTTTTTATTTTTAACGTGATTTTTGGGCTTTGATTAAGAAAAAATGGTCGATTTTTAAGCCACATTCTTGAATTTATCCTTTTTGGGTTTCATACTCTTTTAATTCAAACCACCAGCTTTTTTTGGCCAAATTTAAAAAGGCTAAGTTCTCAGAGATGTATGCCAGTGACCAAAACACCAATAAAACCAATCCATGGCCTCTTGTTGGAACGGAAGGAAGCAAATATTTCCTTTCTTTATTTATAATTAATAACGAGTATGGATAAACGAATATTGTTAGAACTAAATTAACAATCTAAAAAAAAAAGAAAATTATTAAGAATACATTAAATCAATTAAATCTGTACCATATATCCATAAATTGTTTTATCATTAATAACCGTTCCTTGCAAAATAAATCGGATAACTTCCAAAAACGGTATGAATAAAGTAAAAATAATTTGCACCACATACAATCTTGACCGTACGATATGATTCGGAGATACTTCAGTCCCATATTTCTTGTATATAAATAATTGTATCGTTCCAAATATCAAAAGAAATAATCCGATTGTCGATGATGTTACAGTTTCTGAGAAGCATTGCGATAACCCATGGTTAATCCAAATATCCGATATGTTTATTCCAGGGGGGCAATACAACATTTTCTCTCTAACTCAAAATAAAACAATAATAACGTCATAAATTTCTTTGTTAAGATTTATTACGCAATTTAAATAACCTTAATAATATATACCCACCGCTTTTTGATTTTGCTTTTTCGATTATTAATTCGATTTATCAATTCATTAATATTTTTGTTTAGTCATTTGAGGTGATATTTTTATTTTAATAAGGTTAAAGTGAGGTTATGTTGCTTGTCAAAAAATCTTACCTTATAAAAAGTCAAATGTCAAAAATTTTTTTTTAAAAATAACGTAAAGAATTAAATTAAATTGATTAAATTATTAATTTTGATACGGTAATAATGAATTTTGGGGATTTTTAAATAAATAAATGTACATGACGAAATTGGATTACACTTGATATGAATCTAAGTTCATTGGTGTTTATGTACCGAATGGATCAAAATTATTTGTAAATTTTTAAATAAACAAAGATAATTTTATTTATTAAATAAATAATCATTAATGCGATACATTTAAGTTCTAAATAAATAAAATTGATTCAGATATTTCACGTGATAAAAAGAAAGAAAAAAGCCAACCTCGTGATTTATTTTGTGCAATTTACATAATAAATTATTCTTTTTGCGGAAACTTTGAATACTATAACTATTTGCATGAATTAAATTCATTACAATGCTTTCTAGGTTTATAATAATGTGCCATACACTTGGGTTACGTTTAATAAGGCAATACAATATGTTTAGGATATTAATTAATTAAAAAATTCGTCTTTATGAAACTTGCCAAAAACATAAAGAAAAGTGTGCTCTTTTTAGTGGTGAAAACCGTTTGGGAATATCACGACTAGTTTTGGTGATATTAATTTTTAAGTTAACCGAAATTTTTAGTTTTTAATAAAATCAATGAATATTTTTAAAAAAATCGGTGAAGCAGTATTTTTAGGAGTTAAGTGTTGTATTATGTATTAAATTAAAGCTAAAAGATCGTATTTTCATAAAAATATTTAATATATAAATGTGTATTAGAAAAAATTTTTAGAAAAAATATCTTAAAAAAGCGTTAAACTAACTTCTAATATACAGGGTGCCCATTAAGTATGGAATAATTATATCTTGGTAGGTATCAACTTTATAAAAAAACATTTTATACAAAAGTTGTTTAATATTTTATTTGCCATAATAAGATAGCATTCAATTGTTTTTATTTCAGAAAACAAATGAGCAACGATTAACACTTGAAGTTTTTTAAATGGCAATGTACCCTTTCGTTAGGCTCATTTGATAGAGATTTTTTTTCTCTTTACGATGACGTAAAATTTTAGTACCTTTATATCAGAAAATTTTTGAAAAAAATGTAAAAATTGTTTATTAAGAAAATTTAACTAATAACTAGTGATGAGACGGTATTTGAGGAACGGTATTTTGGAGCGGTATTTTTGAGGAGCGTATCGCTTCCACGCGATTTTAAAATATCCGTTACAGAACGTTACTAATATACTTACGTATTTGTAGTGATGGTACGGTATTTGAGGAACGATATTTTGGAGCTTTGTTCTAATGGAACGTAGCATTCCGGCGCGCTTTTAAAATACCCGTTATTTACAGCGTCTGTCGTAATCGCAGTACGGAAGATAATATTTATACGCCAAATGACGAATAAAGCAACGTTGAATGCGATCACGATAGACGGCGTACATGGGACTCCACACCACAGAACCATAGCTTAATAGACTGTTTACAAATGCCATAGAAAGGGACTTTATACAGATAACATTGGTGAAATTTCTGCTTATTCTGATAACGAATCCCAAGTTACGTAATGCTTTTGTCACCATAAGGTCGATATGAACGTGGAATCACAGTTTGGAATCAAGAGTAATACCAAGATCCTTCACTCTGTCAATGGACGCAATAGCTCTGCCGTTAAAACTGTAATAAAAGTTAACCGGATATCGTTTCCATGTAATCGTAATTTTTTGAATTTTGTCGTAATTAAGATGAATTTTGTTGACGAGACAGTACTCATGCAAACGGTGACAGCCGTTGAAGCCGTAGACAGTCGAGACTTGATGTTATATTTGTAAATATTTTATTATCATCTGCATACAGCAGGAATTTGGAAAACTTAAAGCAGGAAGCAATATCATTAATATAAATTAAAAATAATGTTGGTCCAAGATGGCACACCGGAAGAGATGGACTTATAACCGGATAGAAAGCTACCAACCTTGACTGCCTGACTTCTATCTGATAAATATGATATAATCCAGTGAACAATGCCATTTGGGATGTTAAAGGAAGAGAGTTTTTGAACAAGAATTGTATGGTCATCTTGTCGAAAGCTTTAGAATAATCTGTGTAAATAGCATCGACTTGAGAGTTTTCATTTAGAGCAGAATGAATAAAATTAACGTAGGATACCAAATTAGTCTCAGTCGATCGTCCGGGCAAGAAACCGTGTTGTTCATGAATAAAAGAGTGAGTAATCGACTGGCTAAAGTATTCCTGGACAATTTTCTCAAAAACCTTGGAAATAGCCGAGAGAATAGAAATCGGGCGGTAATTTGAAACCAACTGCTTGTCGCCGGATTTAAAAATTGGGACGACGAGAGTCGTCTTCCACTTGCTCGGAAATGCCCCTTCAAGTAATGACTTCGAAAAAATTAAAAACAGGGGTGAAGACAGTTCACTAGCAACCTCCTTCAGGAAGGACGAAGGAATACCATCTGGACCTGGGCTAGATGACTTGTCAAGGTGTGACAGAATGTTAAGAACCGCATCCACAGAAAACCAAGGTGAAACACCCGTGTCACCGGGAATCGCTGAACGATCGATGGTGCCATCTACAAAAACCGACGAGAAGTACTCTCCGAACGCAGATGAGATATCAGGACCCGAGTTCACAGTCGATCCATCAGCAGAAATCATGGATGCTGGCATGCCAGACGCAGAACCCTTTTTCGAATTAATGAAGGACCAGATCTCCCTCGGGTTCCCGGACACCCCCGCCTGAACGGAATTCAGATATGCTCTGTGATCAATAGCTATTAATCTCTTTGATCTAGATCGTAAGATAGCGAAAGTCAAGTAATCATTGTGATGACCTGAGGATTTCCATTTTTTGTGAAAACGTAGCTTCTCTTTAACAACTCTAATGGTAGAGCGTTTGTACCAATGAGGAAAGCGTTCTCTGGGTAAGACGCGCATAGGAACATCTTTATTAATTATATAATTAACGCGCTCATAAAACGCCTCAACCATGCTCTCTACGTTCATCCCTGCAAAGACAGACCGCCATTCAATCCTATTCAAGAAATTTCTTATATTTCCAGAATTAGCCTTATTAAAGAGACGGCTAATTTTAGGCCCATCATTCAAATAAGTTGCGATACGTGGTACAAAAAATTCAAAGGGTGGGTGATATTGATATTTGTTCAAGGCTCTCTTAATATATTGTTTTTCAATTTTCGGATAGCGTGTATTTTTTTAAAATTATGATTCGGACATCGAATTTGAACCACCCTGTACATTTCGAATGTTTTTAGAAAATGCGAATAATATAATATAAAAGCTAAAACATAGCTACAAAATAACGAAAATCATAACAAGGATAAATAAGATCCACAATTATGTGTTAAGTAATTTGACTGCCAATTTTTTGCTTAAGGCGCACGTTGGCGCAAAATTTCTTTTTTATGCTATGTACACCATACCTTCAAATAAATAAATGTTAGCTATAATTGTTCGATTTTGTTCGCTCGCAACATATTTCATTTAAAAGATTGAATGGTCAAAAAATATAAGTATTTACTGACGTCAATAGAAATGGTTGTAGTTTGTTTCAACAAACACCTTTTGAAATTTGGAAAGGCATAAAATGAAGACCTTTCTGTACTTTATAAGAAATCAACAACACAATATCTTCAAGTAGTGATATACCATCTTTTTTTGTTTTCTAAAGTTGTGTCGTTTTCTAGAAAATTTCTTTATACAAAATAAGGGAATTGTAATAGCAATTTATTTCGCGCAGTAGCTATTATAAAACACCAAAGACTTCATAAACTTCACTAAGATTCTATTAATAGTTAAAATATACGTAACATTTAAAAAAACAACACTAAAAAATTGATTTTCGATCGAGTTTTGAGTGTTTTCGGACCACTGTGTGGCGTGGACTGGATTGAATCTTTTATTAATATTAAGACGCCGCCATGCTTATACTGTTGTCTACAGAAGGATGAAGCAATGTTGTATTCATTGATTCTCAATATATTCATTGTTGAGGTGTCCAGCCAATGTTCAGTAATACATGCAACTTCGATATTTTCTAATTCTATAAAGTATTTAATTACATCAATTTTATTTTTCATTGATTGGACATCCAAGTTTAGGAATTGTATTGTTTCTGTTTTATTTTGTGAGAATTCATTGTTTTGTTTTTGGTTTGAAGCTATATTGTCTTGCTGATCCGCGCCAGTCGTTCTAAAAAAGGATTAATTGCTACACCTGCTGGCCAGAAAACCGGGGTTGTTATTACGTGACTCCCTTCTGTTGGTACCGATATTTTAAAAGATGAAATAAAGATGAATATTCATCTGGGTACTTGGAACGTAATTTTTCGCAATATGTGTCTATATAATATGTCTATATGTATATATAGACAACCCAATTTACACACTTCTATTCAAATAGATATAATAATATTTAATAATCGCCAAATTTCAAGGCATTTTTAACACCTTTTCTTATAACAATTCCATTTGGGTCATTTACAAATAAGACGCGATTAAAATTAAAACGAACCAATAAATAAATTAGCGATAAAATCCAAGACTCATTACGAATACAAACAACTCATTTTAACACTTATTAAAGTTACCTTAGCTAATTCACACCGAATAGTTTCTTAGTGGACATTAAACACGAGTTATTTAACTTCGAGAGATTATTTATAAAACAGTTCTAGACAATACGTGGTGTGCACGTTGTGTAATTTTTTTATTCGCGACAACATCGTCTCCGTCTCGGCCGTTTTCATCGTTATCTTTGCAACTATTACACTTACACTTTCAATTCTATCTCCACATCAGTGTGTAAATCAAAGTTAAATACAGAAACGAGACAGTTTGTGTGAGAGAGTGAGTGAATTTAGTATTTATTATCGAGTGT